TAGGTATATTGCGCAGCTATTGGAGCGTCATAAGTTGGTTGACGCCAAGCCGAGGTCTACCCCTTTGCCTCCGGGCTTTAGGTACACTCCTAAGGGGGACGGAGAGGAGCTGCTGGGCAATCCCACCTATACTCATAGGGCTTTGGTGGGAGAATTGAACTATCTGGCGACGAACACGCGGCCTGACATTTCGTATGCATTGAGCGTTTTGTCCCGGCATATGGCCGCACCCACGAAGTGTGCTATGAACTTAGCAATTGGCGTTCTGCGTTACCTGGCGGGAACTCGCGAACTAGGCTTGCGTTTTGGGGATGTTGGCGACGTTGCTATGTCCGGGTATAGCGATTCTGACTGGGCAGGAGACCCAGTTACGCGGCGTTCTACTTCCGGCTACGTTTTAACTCTTAATGGGCTGCAATTAGCTGGAGCAGTCAACTTCAACATACTGTGGCGGCTTCGTCGGTGGAGGCCGAGTATCAAGCGACAGCGGCAGCTGTTCGCGAGGCTTTGTGGCTTCGCAAGCTGATGGTTGACTTGGGTTTGCCTGAGAGCGCTATCAAGATCCAAATAGATTCCCAGGGGGCGCTTAGCTTAGGAAATAACCCGATTACGTCTGCTCGGTCGAAGCACATCAACGTACAGCATCACATAGTGTGTGAGAGGGTGAATAGCGGTGAGGTGCAGTTGGAATACTGCCCTACGGAGTGGATGGTTGCGGATGTGCTCACGAAGGCTCTGGGCGAGGTGAAATTCAAACGTTGCCGAGATGTGATGGGCCTTGTGTGAAGTGTGCTGATGAACTTGGTACTTGCTGGGATACGGCCCGAGGGGGCGTGTTGAGGAAACGGTACTCTCCCAACTCGTGTGGTTGTCGACCAGGGATTTGACCCCGGGTCTGCGTCTGACTAATGGGGACGACTTACCCCAGAACGTTATGGGGCTACCGATGCATATCCGGTAGCTAAGTGATAGACATTTGGGCACCGTCAGGACGGCGCAGTGAGATCGCGGAATGTACGTGCAGTTAGATCGCAGAATGTACGAGTTTTCCGCTAGCGCCGGTATTTAGGGTGGTGACTGCGCTTATTTGTTTATCTCACAACGATCGGTATTCCTACCAGGAATCTCCTAAAGTCCTGCCGAACGCAATTTACAGTTTTACATTACTTGTAACAATTTCTCGTGTTCAATATCTTCGCCGCTGGCAATCCTTCCGGAATAACAATCAGCGTCAGCCGTCACCGTCACCAATTCTCCAATAAACGCGAACCACTAGGCGAAGGTTCAGGCATAGGTCCATAGGTCCACACACATGTGAACTAGTGCTAGTGGCTGGGCTGCCTTGTGCCCTGTCAGCAGAAAAGGACCTCGTGTCTGTTTTGCAAAAACGCATGTCTCACAAACACACGTACTGGTATTCTGAAAGCTGTGCTGGTCGACGTCAAATCCCATTACCATATTGTGGTGCAGCAACGCCTCGAGGTTGCTGTAGCCCAGATGTCCATAACGCCGATGCCAAAGTGTTGCACTCTCCGTCTTGGAATCCATGGTGGTGCACGTTGTACCATGTCCGTTGTCACAGTAGCTCGTATTCTGCGTCCTCCTGATGGTGCCTGTACTTCCACCTCGATAGCAAATGGGGTAGAGATCACCGTCCCGTTCACCGGTCAACACTAAATGATTTTGCAAGTATACCTTTACTTGACCGTCACCGAAGACGACGCTACCTCCGCGATCGTCGATGATACGGACGGACAAAATCTTTACCATCGCCTCCTCGTCAACGTAGACCCTTTTGGATGTGATGGCTTGATTGTTGATGTTGATGTTGTTACAGGGTGGTTAAGCTTCACCAGTGGCCTCCTTCCCGAGGCAATTCCCTGCTCTCCCCTGCTAGAGGGGCACCCTAAGCCATTCACCCCATCCGACTTCAGAGTGTACTCTTTGAGTTTGGCAACTCACCACCAGCATCCAACCAAATCTAGCGGATCAACGGCGCGTCAACTTAGTTCCTGGTCGGCTCGCGAGTGATTGTTGTTGACATTAGATCGAATGGTAAGCGATCCAACCTCCGTCGGACGCAGTGACTGGCCCTTAATGCCCACAATGCTGAAGCATTCCCAAGGCTCCAACACACGCACATTGAGTAGTTCAGATCGTGGTGAGTAGATGCGGAGTCCAGAAACCATTCCGTTGGACGCTCGTTGTTGATGTTGTTACAGGGTGGTTAAGCTTCACCAGTGGCCTCCTTCCCGAGGCAATTCCCTGCTCTCCCCTGCTAGAGGGGCACCCTAAGCCATTCACCCCATCCGACTTCAGAGTGTACTCTTTGAGTTTGGCAACTCACCACCAGCATCCAACCAAATCTAGCGGATCAACGGCGCGTCAACTTAGTTCCTGGTCGGCTCACGAGTTGATTTTATCACGTCCTACACCGTCCACAAGATGGGGGGCCACCTCCCATTTCATCACCTCTCAAACACCCCGAGAGGTCGGCAGGCGGATTTGAACCCAGACGCGCCGGGACGCGTCGGGAGCAGAAGCCAGGCCTTAACCTCTGCCAGCCGCCTGCCGCCTACCGTTGTTGTATGCTACGAACGCTACCTGCCGCGGAACACCTGGCCCCCTAGCTGATCCACCGGATCCATTGTATGCCATGAACGCGACCTGCCTCGGAACTCCTGGTTCCCTAGCTGATCCACTGGACCCAGGCTTGCTGCCGCTAGCTCCACAGCCACTGCTGCTGTTACCACCCTTATTCTGTCCAGAAATTGAGAACTGCTTCAGCACTTTCAGCTGCCTGCAGTCCTTAACCACGTGCCCAGGCTTGTTGCAGTAGTAGCAGGTGAGCTGCTTTTTACTGCGTCCCGAGCTGCTGCTAGCCAGCCCTCGGCTGCCATAACCAGAATTAGAAACACCGAACGTCGAACCGCCGACAGATGCAAAGGCTGCCGGCTCGGTAGGCTTTCCTGACCCACCGTTAGCCGTCTCGATAGCTAAAAGCTTAGACGTGACGTTCGCCATGTCCAGATCGCCGTCGTGCATCAGTAATGTTGTCGTCACCACGCTGTACCGACTGGGTAAACCAACGAGGACGGTGTACGCCAGCTCGGAGTCGTTAATCATGTAGCCGACTCCCAATAAGTCCGTTTGCAGCTGCCTCGCACGCGCAAATTACATCGGAAGAGAATCAACCATCTTAAAACGGCCGAATTTATGACATGGAGCCACCTTGCAGGTGTTGTTGATGTTGTTACAGGGTGGTTAAGCTTCACCAGTGGCCTCCTTCCCGAGGCAGTTCCCTGCTCTCCCCTGCTAGAGGGGCACCCTAAGCCATTCACCCCATCCGACTTCAGAGTGTACTCTTTGAGTTTGGCAACTCACCACCAGCATCCAACCAAATCTAGCGGATCAACGGCGCGTCAACTTAGTTCCTGGTCAGCTCGCGAGTTGATTTTATCACGTCCTACACCGTCCACAAGATGGGGGGCCACCTCCCATTTCATCACCTCTCAAACACTCCGAGAGGTCGGCAGGCGGATTTGAACCCGGACGCGCTGGGACGCGACGGGAGCAGAAGCCAGGCCTTAACCTCTGCCAGCAAACATCGAACCCAAGGCGTCCCAAGCCTTCTTCGCATTGGCGGCACCGGTTACCATTGGAAGATTATGATCCTTGACCGCGGCGCGCCGCGAAGGGGACCGTAGCTTCGACTCCCAGGCCAGCTGTGGGTGTGTGGTGCGTAAGGTGCTCTGTGGTGCGTAGGTGAGAACGGTAATAATGTGGGGAAGCAGTGGCGAGGACTCAGTTACATTGCATCTGTGATGGAGGGTGGTTTAGTAGCAAGCCACAGCCAGCAGTGCCGTAGCAGAAGGCATTCTCGAGGTTCACATCCGGCATCCAACAGCAACGACCCATAACAGCAATCGATGAGGGGCCCTGATAGCAGCACGGCACAAGGAATGTCCGGGGATTGTGAGCGGTGAAGTGAATTATGCCTCCTAGGCTCGCATCACACGAATTGCATGAAATCACCGCGGTGGCAGCATCGTCAGCAGCGGAGTAACAGCAGTCTGCACGGACGTGCCTGCATTTGATGGTCGTCATGAGCAGAACCCAGCTAATGCCACGCCCTGGACGCGTGCTTGTGTTCTCGTGTTCTAGTGCCGTTGCATTCTCACGTCTGGGCGGGTGCCTGTCCTCACCGCCTACTGTAGTGCATACATGGGGCCGTGTCGCATCCCCATGATGCATGAGTACAGTCCCAGTCTGTCGCGGTCGTAGTTGTCGCATCCTCACACCTCACATCCTTGTCGCATCCTCACACTTCACATCCCCACCACACATCCTTGTCACATCCTTGTCTCACCGTCACACCTCACAACTCACATCCTGGCGTTTGGCAGTACTACACGTACGGTTTCATGTGGTCATACATTCATGTGCACACGCGTTGTGTGTACTCGCGGTTGCATGCCCTGGTGCTTCACATTCGCGGGCGTATGGTGTTTTGTGTACGGCACGTGCGGCTGAAACCGCATATTAGGAATGCGTAGTATAGCAGCACCGGAGCGTTGCATTGCAAAAGTCAGCCATCACGCAGGGCACTGCGAAGAGACGCAGTTCCATGTAAGAAGTGGAGCTCCATGTAAGAAGATGCACAATCACACAACAGCAGGCATGCGTTCACTTTCGTTCGAAGCCTGAGCGTCAGATCTGCTTCGCAGATGTGAAAGAAGACAACCATGCAGTGGCATGTGGTGCCATTGGTAGGTTCGTAGTCTCAGCGCGTGGTAACGATCTTGCGGACGTTCTCAAGGCTCCTAATGGTCAGATCCGTGCCCTGCAGCTTTACACGCACATCTGCCGTGAAAGCCGCGTTCGTACGTGGTCTCGAATGTCTCGTGCCCTGCCAGCTTGAAGGACGCCATGGCCATTCCGATGGTCAGGCTGGCTGTCGTACGGTTCGCCGCGGAGATAAGGTTTCCGATGCCCTTGCATCATCCCTCCTGGGCGGCTGCGGGGTCTCCACCACCAGCAGCTGCAGTGTCAAGGAAGTGGCGGCTGATCATGATCGCGTGGTTCAGCCGTGTGACTTGGCTCTGCGACGTGGCCTTGGCGACATACTTGGTGGCATAGTGTGTGGTTCGGCGGGCCACAACCTCTGCTTGCACAAGGATATCCTCCAGGACCTCGGGGGCATGGGGACCGGCAGTACAAGCTGTTCCTCCACTGTTGCGGTGTACTGACGGTCGAGCTCACAGGCCAGCGTGAAGATGTTGTTGCAGCCCAGCGCCATTGTGACAGTGGGGCAATGGGGCACAATGTTGGGGCTGTATCGGGGCAGAACGAACAGGCCGTTGTCGCCCACCCACTTGAACTCACGCCGGATGTGGCGTGGGTAGGCCATGCCGCAGTATCCATCCACGCCTGCACAGCCGAAGTGTTTGCAGGTGTCGGTGTGTGTGTGGGTGCAGGACCCCACGACACCCGCCACAAGGTGCTGTGTGCAGCGTTCAAAGCACACTTCGGGTGTAAAGGTATCAGTGGCTTCACCCCCGGTCCCACGCGGCTTGCCACGGGTGACAATGGCGAAGTCATATGCGGGCGCCGGCATGGATCCATCTGGCTGAGGCGCGCGGATGGCTGGGGGGCGGCCAGCGGACGCTGCGGGGGGGGCTGGCTGGACTCCATTGTCACCATTGCCAATGTCTTCATCTGTGCCCGAGGCGCTGCCAGGTTCTGCTTGAGTCAGGCCGTCATCCCCTTCTGCAGTAGCATCTGTCAAGTCGTCAGTGCTGCTGTTGATGCTTCCATGGGCGTCGGTGCAACTGCCGTTGGTGTGGTGGGTGCAGCCGTGACCAGGGGTGTCTGCCAGAAGACTCGTCGCTCTTTGTCCTGGATGTCGTAGTACGGCTCAGGCAGCCACATGCTGCAGAGGGTGTGTGCCAGTGCCAGAGCGCGGCAGTTGGGCCCCTCAAACAGGGCCCGCATTTTGTCCACGGTGAACACTGCCAGGTGCGCCATGCCGTGCAAGTGCAGGGCGAGGCGTCCACTCTGCTCCACCTTGATGCAGATGTGGAACACGGTGCCACAGAAGCAGTCGGGGTTGCTCTGCCGCTTGTCGCCAGGTTTGAAACCAAAAAGGATGTCCATGAAGGCGAGCTTAACCGTGTTGAGGAGTGCTTGTATTGAAGAATTGGCGACGGTGACAGCTAACGCTAATTGTTATTCCGGAAGGATTGCCGGTGGCGAAGATATTTAGCACGATAAACTGTTACAAGTAATGTAAAGAGTATTGTTAGCGTTCGGCAGGACTTGAGGAGATTCCTGGTAGGAATACCGATCGTTGTGAGATAAACTAATAGGCGCAGTCACCGCCCTAAATACCGGCGCTAGCGGAAAACTCGTACATTCCGCGATCTAACTGCACGTACATTCCG